CAAGAAAATGATTCGACACCTCCTTCTTCAAAGGTCAGAAGGAGGTTGTCCTTCCCAGGTATTGACCTTGAGATAGTGCGGTTTTGCCATTTCTTTCCCGCCTGCAGATTTTTCTAATAATGACAATAATTGGCCTCAGCAAAGAAGCCATCATGATCTAATCCAATCTCGCTGAACTTTTCATATGTCATCCCCTCCTCTTTGGTACGGGGATACAACTGAGTTCGGACGGGGTCGGGTAGTGCGCGTGCAAAGCTGTTCAAAATTTGAGTCGGGGTCAGTCCATGTTCACTGCATTGTAGTAGTTCATCCATGGTCGCTTTAAGCGCTGAAGTATTTTTTCACTTCCTATCGGGAAGGTTCAATATTAGTATTTATGTCCTTCGTGCTAAGTTCTTATCTTCAAACCTTTCCCTGACATCTTTGAGAAAGTCCTCGATGCGAGTTTGTTGAGAGTATTCTACCATTGAACTGCAACCTACTTCTTTTTGTAACGAAATGGCGAAGTTCATCGCATCGCTGGCCATGCACGAAGTGGCCATCAGAACTCTATCCCAATATAAAATTCGTTGTCCATAGACATAGGACTCGACTGCCGCCATCCAATGTAACACACTTCCCTCCTTCTTACCCGTGTAAGTCCATGAAATTTTGACTTTAATCTTATTACTTGGTCCTGCTCCTTCTTCTCGCAGCACCCCCTTTCCTTTTCTGTCTCCATCACCTCCATCCCCGTCTCCATCATCGCCTCCTCCTCCACCGCTGCCTTGAACTATCCTTTCAATTACGGCCGAAGTAAAGTTCTGGGTCATGTGGTCCTCCAATTTTTTAATGTAAGATTGAATGTGTAAATCTACGTCTTGGGCGGACTTTTGCAGAAAAGTATTCCAGGCACCGTTTAATTCGTATTGATGGCTTTCAACCTTTCGCAGGGTCCGGTTCATTGCGGCTACTTCTTGCTTGGTATGAAGGACGGTTTCCGTCAGGAGAGCAAGTTTTTCTTCGGTTGCTTCCTGTTTGTCTTTTTGTGCTTGCATTTCACTTTGCAGCCTTGCCCCCTCTGCTTGTAATGTTTTTCTTTCGTCAAGTTTTTACCGCTTTGCTGCTAACATTTTACTATGCAGCTCGATGCGTTTTTCTTCAAGCATGAGATCCTTTTCTTTTTTGTCTGTAACGGTAGCTCGTCTTGCAACGAACGCGTCCCTCTCTTCCTCTGTTTCCACAAGCCTGTCGCCGGAATATGCATACTGGTCGTACCAGTCCAGCGGTTTAACAAACACTTCGCCACCTGTCTGACTACTCGCTGGCCTATCAGTCCACCTTCTGAGCAGTCTGTCACCACCTTCCTCAACCTCTTCTTCTTCTTCAATAGTCTGTAACTCTTCTTTCAATTCTTGCCTTGACTTTTCTTTTAACTTATTCTTCAAATCTTCTTCTTCTATCTCGGCCTTCTTCTTCATTTTTTCTTCTTTCTTTATCTTTCTTTCTTCTTTCTTCTTTTTCTTTTCTGCCTGCCGATGATCAATTTCAGCCTGCTCAGCAGGTGTGGGCCCTAACTTAACTACTCCTGAGCGCATCATTATTCTGGATGCGCATACTCTTTCAAGGCCCAGTGGAAAAAAGATGTGGAACAGCGGGCCCAACAACACAGAAAGGGCAATCAAGCCCTGCATCGGAAAGTCGTCCACCATGATGAGACTTAACACAGGGAACCCTCCACAGGTCCCACAAGGGAGGCCTCCCAACTAATCCTTAAACTTCTCTAAGTGGATGTGGATGGAATAAAACAACTTTGCTTTGTCTTTTTTTTCTTTTTTTCTTTTTTTGAACTCTGGGTGTTGCTGTTCCAATAATAACGAATTTCAGAACTGGAATACACCTTCTTTTTTTTTCTTTCTTTTATCTCCCTATACTGATTCTGTCTGTCTGTCCTCTTGCGCAGGTAGGCACTGGAGTGATTACTCGATCAGGTACCTAGGCAACACTTCAATCACACTTATCTTCTGCTCAGTTTGATTAGACCCTGTACCTTGCTTGTATTCTGACATGGCAAATTGCCACCACCTCCCAACGTGCTCCTATCTTGACTACAATGTAGACATCAAACTAGAGGGTAGGAGACAGAAGGACTCTGATCACTCTGGACCCTAACGTGACAAGATCCTTTGACCTCAACCATCCAGACTACAGACCCTGTGACCCGATTTGACAGCAGTTGCAACGACCCCAGAGAGGATAAGGAGTAGAGGTACACACACATGCAGCCAGGGAAGGGGAAAAAGGTGCTTCTCTCTTTCACAGCGAACGTCGATGAAGACTCCTCGTCGCTCCGCACTCCATGCTCAAGGTAAGTATCACTTCTACCCCTTCCCCTTCCTCCTACTCCTCTCCCATATCCCTATCCACCACCTCTTCCACCATCGTTAGCATCATCAACAAGCCAGCGGTCTCTTCTCCTTCTCGCCGGCCTTGCTTATGCCAGCGCAGTGAGTACAACAAGTATCTGCTCTGATACCAGAATTGCAAGGAACCCGACTGTTCACAACTTGCTTGAGAGCATCATTCCGCATGCATACATGTCAACACACGTACAAAATGGCTTCACACAAAACCGGATTGAGATAAGATAAGAACCAAGTAGCGCAGCTTATATTATCAATGTCACTTAATACAAAGAGTATCATGAGTTACAGAGATCAGCGCCAACAAGAGATAGTCCCCCTCGTCATACAACAGCATGGGATCTGGCTCAGCCAGCATCCTTCTTCATATTACAGATGTGGCGCCACCAGGTAAGTATCCCCCATATCCAAACTCACTTCCTGTCTTCTCTCTCTCCTGATCTCTTCTCTCTCTCTCTCCAGAACTATGTCTTGGTTCTCTCAACTCACTCTGCATGCACACTCTCACCTACGAAGATTTATTTTGAATGTCACTCACTGATATCCTACTTACTAACTCTCTACTACTAACGTACGTTGGCGCAGCTATGGCTCCTCTGCAGCCAGCGCCTTGCCTCCCTTCTTCCTGGCGCAACTCTCCTTCCACGCCTCAATGCCTCAGCACTTCCACGCCTCAATGCCTATGGGAATCTGCCTTGTGGGGAGGCAGTCTCGTTTCTTATAGTGCTGGCCTCCCCAAACGAGGTCTGAATTTTGTCTGTCTTGGGTCTTTCCCTGTCCCAACCTCTGTGGAATGTGTCCCAGACTCTTTTCCTTCAAGGGTTGCTGCTGCTGCGGCCTGTAGGCCTCAATTTCGGACTGCCTATTTGTATCTAGACTTTCCCTTTGACTCGAATCTGGACTGAGACTTAACTCTTTGACTTCTTTTTAGACAGACACATCTTTTGCACGAACAGACACTTTTACTGCATGAACAGACACATTGACTGCACGTACAGACACATCCCTGCATGAATAGACATGACTTGCGCACCCCCTGGATGAACAGATGTGACCCAAACATTTAGATATTGGAACTGTTCGTCCAGGGGCACAACTGTGACCTTTGATAATGTCTTTTGCTTTAGTTAGGATGTGACCTTTGACTTAGAGAACATGTCTTTTGACTTGCTTTCACGAATTGGGCTCTGGGTGAGAGACCCCAATATGCTGCTTTCGTCGATCAGGGGCTGCATCGGGTAAAGGCCCTTTTAATTACTTAAAAAAAAAAAAAAAAAAAAAAGCATGCTCTACCAAAGGGAGTTGCTGCCCTCAACAAACAAGGCCATAGGAAATAAAAAAAGAAAAAAAGGAAAAAAAGCCCAAGGGACTTTGGACGTGAAAGCAGCCGGATACAGAACATTGCGCACATATGCCCTTCCAAAGGCGGTAACAGGCCTCAGCAAAACATGGCTATAAAAAAAAAAAAAAAAAAAAAAAAAACAGCAACAACTCTTTGGACGTAAAGGCAGTTGGATACAGAATCTTGCGTATATGTGAGAGTACCCCGTTGGTTGCAAGTGTCAGCTGTCCGTGGAAAGCTCCCTGCCTCATTATCAGGGCACTAAAACTAAATTAGAAGAAAAAAAAAAAAAAAAAAAAAAACGAAACTATAGATGATTCCTTCGTGCACCTCCTTCGTGACGTTTTTTTTTTTTTTTTTTTTTTTCCGGGAAAAGGTATAGAATCCCTTATTCAAAGTATAAACTTTGAGGCCGTGAGCCTTCCGGTAGCGCTCTTGCTGCGCTAATTCATGCGCTAATTTTGTGTCAGCGGAATAGCGGGCGATAGGAGTCGTATCGGCACTACCCGAAGTCTCAAGGCCAGGGGGACGCGGCGATTGACGCGATAGCGTTCTTAGTGCGCGCCTTCGGCTGTCGGGGCCGATCCGGTTTCTCGCGTGGTCACCACCATGATGATCTCGTGGGCATCCTGAGTTATCTTGCTCGATACTTTCCGAGCAACCTCCCGGCGGTGAGGAAGATTAACGAAGGTAAGCCGGCTCCATGAGTGTGTCTTAAGTCGTGTACGTGAGATATACGTGTTTTTCGTGTACGGAGCGTTGGGGTGTACGCTTGAAGGCGTCCACCTGTAGATGAGGGAGTCGATGGAAGAAGGATCGAAGTAGTTTACTACCAGCTGGTAAGTAAATTCATCAGAGCAGAGACGCAGGAGGTAGAACTGCTCTCAGTTGAAGTCAAAGGAAGAGAAGTGATGGCGGCTTCAAGTGAAGGGGCCCGTAACAGCAAAAGAAGTGATCGCTCCCCGCCTCGGGGAGAGATCCCTGTTTCGGAACAAGATCGGGTGAGGATGCTGATTGCGAAATGTTACGAGGAAGGCATATTTCCGGAACGTCTAAAATAGGGCCACTTCATTCAAGAGAACGGAGCGAAGATTTTTGTAGTGGACAAGCGAGTAGGAGAACAAACCACGAGGTGGCTGAAGGAGCGCACCGTAACCGTAATTTTTCAAGGAGAGGCGAGGTCACTTCCGGCAAGAGTGCATGAAGATTTGATAAGAGCTTACGAAAACGGATGGACAAGAGCGCGCACGTTTCCAAGACCTGTCAAGAGAGGGCGAGTGCATCCAGAGGGTCCGAACGTAACTTCCTACGTGGCGATGTTAAGAGAAGTGGCGCAATGGATGATCATTAAGGGTGAAGACTCTGTGATCATCCGGGAAACTGCCTACAAAATGGTCTTTAAGCCATGGATGACTCGACTTGAGCTTGAAGAAAGAAGACGAGTGGAGGACGTCTCTAAATTCTGTGTCACTGCGCTGAGAGTACCATTGAGGGGGATGTTCCCTATCGTGGATGCGATTGAGCAATGTATGGGAAGGATAATCAAAGCCATCCTTCCTCAACCGGATGCCTGGAGACCAAAACTCATGAACATGAAGTTTGAGTTGGTCCTCGAGGCGGAAGGTGCATTCAAACCTATTCTTCCCCTTCGACTCGATGACGGAGAAACGGTGAACATTGAGTTGGCCTGCAAACACACTCCTTGGTGTGATAAATGCAGATGGTGGTTCCACACGGCAACTGATGGCTGCCCGAAACTCGAGCAACAGGATGATGGCCAGGGGTCCCAGCCAGCCGCAGCTGACAACTTCTCAAGTCGCAACAGGCAAGAACCGAGTCAAGGTGCGTTTGGTGGAATCCACGATGCAGCAAAAGATCCACCGATGGAGATACCGGCCAGGATGGTGGCGGAATCCTCAGCAAGAGCTGCTTCGGGATTTCGTCCACAACAGGCCACTAGTGCGGCCCGACATCCGAGAGTTTCGGGTGAAGGGCAAAGCGGGGGCCAAGGGATCTCAATCGGTCGCAACATGGCAACTCCAATACATCAGCAACACCATGCGCCGTTTCAAGGATGGAACACGGGTGGTCCAAGCCCGAGCGGTCAGGGGGGCACATGGCAGCCACCAGACGATCAAGCGTGGCATGCAGTTATCCTGGAAGCAGCCAGTCAAATAACAGTGGATGTGTTGGCTCAAAATTCAGGGTGCCCTGGAACTAGAGGTGCAAATAACGGAGCAGGATCCTCCGGTGGAAGGACGGAGGTACGAGAGCTTGCGATAATACCGAAAGGCGAGCTTATTGGGAGAGAAGAACGAACAGAAACGGAACACCTTTTGGGGGAAAGAAAAGTGAGGGGCGATGGAATACGTCGGGGCGACCAGGGGATGATGGTAGGAGGGGATCGAGCCTTGGTGGTGCATCATTCGGACGTGGAAGATGATCAAGACGTAGAGGACGAGGAAGATGACGAAGGGTCACCACGGGGCATCCATGAAGGCGCGCCGTCGAGAGAGCGAGGTGGCCTCCAAATGGAGGACAACCTGTTATTACCGTTCGTCTGCACCCTTCAGGGGAACGAGATTTTTGTACTTGGCCTTTGGTCAGTGGAGGACAAGTATTCTATCCCGGCCTGCCATGTTGTTGAGATCCCGTCGCATCAGTTCGTAATTATGAAGGTTGGACAGTTGTTTGCAGAGAGATTCGTCTTCAGAATGTTCCCTGACGATCCCCCAGCACGCTTGGTGGTAGACTTACCAGGAGGGTGCAAGGCGCGCTTTCCAATTCCAATTATCGATGCTAGAATCCCACCAGATCAGTGGAGTAATATAGCGTCGGTAGGTCTGGTAGGGATCCCTCTTCGTCTGTTTTTACAGGACCCGAATGAAGAACTTGACAGACTGTCAGTTGAGCCTGGCCTCACAACAAGATTTTTGTCTTGGCTGAATGGAGAGCTGCAAAGGAGGAATCTCCTCCTACTTCGCAGAAATCCTCAGCGGTTGCTGGTCAGTGGAGTAATATAGCGTCGGTAGGTCTGGTAGGGATCCCTCTTCGTCTGTTTTTACAGGACCCGAATGCAGAACTTGACAGACTATCAGTTGAGCCTGGCCTCACAACAAGATTTTTGTCTTGGCTGAATGGAGAGCTGCAAAGGAGGAATCTCCTCCTACTTTGCAGAAATCCTCAGCGGTTGCTGGCCAGACTATTTGTTGGCACCAGGACAAATCCAATACTCAGCCCACCCGACAGGAGGTGATGGACAGAATTAAGGTAGCAACTTGGAATGTGCAGGGGCTGGGTGATACGAACGGGAAGCATAAAGGAAGAAGGGTGAAATCTTGGATTCACAAAGAAGGGATCGATATTATGCTTATTCAAGAGACTAAATTGTCAGAGGTAAAACTGGTCCAAATGAAAGATTGGTGGTCTGGTCCCCAACTCTGGTCCCCGACACGAGGGAGCAAAGGGGGAGTAGCAGTTCTCATCCACAGTCGGTTAGATGTGGGAGTCATTGATTGTGATAACGACATTTGGGGCCATTGATCGTAGGTGAAACTGAGCGTTGGTTCAGAAGATTGGGTTTTCGCGTCTATTTATGCCCCCAACGATGGTCTGGATAGAATCGAATTTATAGAGCTGCTTTCTTGAAAGTTGCCAAAATCGGACCATCTTATTGTAGGAGGGGACTGGAATATGGTCAGCAGACCCAGTCTGGATTCCGAAAAAGGGGAAAGTATGAAGAGAGGCCGAAGAACTCTCCTGACGTGGGCAGAGAGATGGGGGCTGCTTGATGTATTTCGGGAAATGAATCCGCAGGAAGCTGGTTTCACTTGGTTTGGAACGGCACCGCAAACGACACATGTCAAGAGGAGACTAGACTTCTTTCTAGTTTCTGAGACGCTTGCCGGCAAGGTCCAAACAGTGAGTACCAAGGCAGCCTCCACTTCGGACCACAAACCTGTCTTAATGACAGTACATTCAAGGGAACTCAATGAAAGGGGTCCGGGTTATTTTCAATTGAACACAATGTTGTTGGAAGACAAAGGTATAGGTGAATGGGTACAGTCCTTCTGGACAGATTGGGAAGAGGTGAAGGACAACTTTGACAGCAGAGCGGATTGGTTGGATACTGGTATCAGAATCATTTCAAGCAAACTCGCAGTGTTCTCTGCAATCGCTACTTACCTGAGAAACAAAGAGGAAGAAGACTGCAGGAGGAGAGTGGAAGAGGCCGAGGAGCGTATGGCAGAGCACCCAATCTCGGAAGCAGTATGGGCAGAGGAGCGAGCACAACATCAACAAGACTGGGCGACATATTTTAAAGACATCCTGACCTCTCGCTCTCAGTTTGAGGACCCGAACACGGACCTATCTTATCACTCTACTCTATGGGACTCATTAGAGGTGGCATTATCAGACCTAGCTAAAGCGGAGCTAGAGAGGGCTGTCTCAGTTGAGGAACTTGCAGCCACACTGGGCACAGTTGCAAAGGGTAAGGCTCCGGACGATGATGGGCTTCCCATGGAGTTTTATAAGGCCTGTTGGGAAACATTGGCGCAGGATCTAGTTCTGATCTACAATGAAGTCCTCCAGGGCGGTAAGCTGGGACCTACGATGACCAGGGGAATAATTACCCTACTGTACAAGAAAGGGAGTCGGAGCGAGATTAGGAACTGGTGTCCTATCTCGCTGCTGAATTTCTCTTATAAACTGTTGGCCAAGACCTTTGCTAGCAGGCTAGGGAAGTACTTACCCGGGTTAGTAGGAATGGATCAGGGTGCCTTCGTGAAAGAAAGGCAGGTCGATCTTTGATAACCTAGCAACTGCAATAGAGGCCCTGGAAGTAATTGAAGATCGGAATCAGGATATGGTGGTGTTGATGCTGGATCTCGAAAAGGCATACGATAGGGTCAGTTGGCCTTTCATGATGACAACTCTGAGGAAGATGAACTTTGGAGAAGCCTTCTGTAATGCAGTAAGGGCGTTATATTTTTTGTTCCTCGGCCGCGGTACAAGTGAATGGTCATCACTCGGAGTCGTTTAGCCTGTCGAGATCACTCAGACAGGGCTGTCCTTTGGCCCCGCTCCTCTTCGTGCTGCAGTTAGAGGTGCTTCTCCACGACATTAGGAATCATCCCCTGTTGGAACGACTGAGATTACAGAGTGGAAAGGATTGCCATGTCAAGGCATTAGCAGACGACTCGCTGGCTTTATCGAAGAACACAGTGACTTCCCTGGAAGCCCTGAAACAATGTCTGAGGAGGTATGCAGAGCTATCGGAAGCGGCCGTGAATTGGAATAAATTGATCTTCTTCCTCCTGCAGGACTTCCAACTGTCAGTGAATTGGGGAATGTGCAGAGTCCAGACAGGGGAAACCGAGCGTTATCTCAAGGTTCAACTAGCACTAGACAGTAGAGCCGAAGCCCAGTCATTAGTCCTGCAAGAGAAGGTGAAAAGTAGAATTCGTAGTTGGGGATCTGCACCTCATCTATCGTTGGTTGGTAGGGTCTTGACAGTAACGGTGGCTGCTTTTTCGATCCTGTGGTAGGTGGCAAAGGTTCGGAAGTTGGAAAAGCCTCTGGTGAAAAGGGTCAAGGCGACAGCGAGAAGGTTTATATGGAAACCCAGGGCGGAGGAAGGCCAAGGGTACATCCCAAAGGTTGCCTGGCACACCCTCTCTGCCCCCAGAAACAAAGGTGGTCTGGGCCTGATTGACCCAGAGTCTCAGAACCGGAAGCTTCTCACAAAATGGATAGCCAAGGTGGCAGCAGCAGAGCAAGAGACAGACTCGTGCCTACTAGCGGAGGAGCTGCTATGCGAGCAATGGGGCTTGTCAAGGTCATCAGATGTGTGGGTGGCCATCACGATTCAATCCTTCTTGAACAAAAGGATTAAGTCCAGATTTTGGAAGGACATAATCCTAGCCTGGCGAAGCTGCAAACCGGATCAGGCGGCAAAACCAAGTTCAAAGAACGAAGTGTTGAGACAACAATTATTCGAAAACCCAGGACTGCGGAAGGCAGATGGGAAGCCGTTCAGCGCCTGCAACAGGCCAGGCTCATTCGGATGCAAGTGGATACAAAGGGGAGTTTCCACAGTTAGAGATATTTGGGATGAGATTCTGGGGCAGTGGAGACATCCGGCGTCGCTGAAGGAGTCACTCAGCATGCTGCCCCTGCAGGAGGAGAGACTGAAGGAATCATCAATGCAGTCCCCGAAGACTGGTTTCAATTGCTGAGTCCGGAGCACATACCAAGCACAAGAACCTGGTACCGTAAGGAAAGCAATGATAACACAGAATTCTTGAAGCTGGAAGCATGGGACACGATGATCCCACGCAAATGTACTATGTCTGTCCACGAAAAGGAGGTGAGGGGTAACCCGGAGCTGAAAAGAATAGGTGAGATACCTAGTTACGGGCTAGCCAACCTTCAGGAAATAAGAGTGCCAGCGTTGGAACAGAAAGAAGGGGAGCCCCCGGTCTCAGGCAGGTTGGTCACAGGAGGGGCCCCGCTCAGTGTGTTGCGTAACGATCAGAAAGGACGTTGCTCTCTTCCTTATCTACCCTCTTCGTTACTTCTTACCGTGAGGAAGTGATTTCTGTCTTGAGGGTCCTCTCGATGTGAGGTGTCGCGAGCGCTCAACCTTGAGAGTCGACATTCTTCCTGGGCAGCAAGGTGATGGGAGACGGGCGAAGCCTCTGAAGGGCCCTGGACGAAGCACTCGGGTCACAGTCACCATGCCAACCCGTTGGGACTAGTACACGCATGCTTTGCCGCAAGTCCTTGGTTTTACTGCTTGCCCAATAGAGGTCATGCTGACTCATGCAGGGCATGCCAGCCCTTTGACAGACGCTTACCAGACCGTCTTTAAACATTCTGGCTGGGGACTCGGAATTGAATCTGGTTGTGATCATCGTTCTGTCTGCGACGTAAAATAATTCCTGAGGAGATGGGGGTTGTCCTTAAATCCCTCCTGATCAACTAGATCAACCGGGTGTACGGCTCGTTGCATGCGAGGGTAAATAAAGTGCAGGGGCTGACAGGTTCGACGTTGACTTGGCGCACAGGGGTGGGCCGGATTGCACACCTTCAGACACGCTGCTCAACCAGATGCTCAGGGCGTCGACACAAAGTGACCACTCAAAAAGGATACAGGGGGAGGGGGGGATTCCGGTAACTATTCGCAGTGGCAATCAACAGACAATCTGCCATCAAGCATACATCTCCAACAGGAGATGTTATTTTTATTTTTGATTATCTAGTTGTTACAGACTTGGCTAACAACTGACAGACAGCTACAGACAGACTGATGCAAGCACTAGTGAGGAGGAGTTGTTAGTGGACGACCGTAGGACTACTCGTGGGACTGCCCGTAGTCGACCCTTGACATTCTTGGAGTTAGGTCCAGGAGACGAGAGAAGATTGCGGAGAGAGGCTAGAGAGAGAGCGGCGACAAGGAGAGTGAGGGCAGCTGAGGATAGTGTCAGGACTAGAATTTCAGCTAACATTGGTGCAGCCATGGCTACTTCATCTACCATGTCGGAAACCTCTTCACAGTCCACTTCGTCAGGAGTCAGTCAGAGTGGTTCTCAGGGGTCCATTAGTTAGAGTGCTAGCTTGCGAGTCAACCAACAGACTCAACTCACGCCGGAGGATTTAGAAATCCGGAAAGCAGAATAACTTCAGGATGAGCTACAATGGCAGTTAGACGAGGCAACAGAGAGGAGAAGAAAAACAATCCTGAGAAAAGCTAGACTAGGTAGTCGAAGAGAGGAGCTAGGCCGACTGGAAGGACTAGATGAGGTGGCATTAGACCCTGTTGTTCATGTGCTACGTAATGCTTTACTATCGGTGGCAAAAGTGCAGAATGTCCAGCAGGAATTGCTGGCCGAATTGGTTGCAGGCCAGAAACAAATCCTGGCTGAACTTCGGGCTCCTCATACAATGATGAGGCATCCACAGTTTGTTGTAGTTCCCCCTGCAGGTGCGGGTCCTTCATCGATGTCGCAACACACAGGGCCAACTTTCTCTCTTATGTTTGGCATACCCCCTCCAGGTGGTTTAGTAGCAACTAGTGGTCTGGTTCATAGAGTCTCAGTCGTGCCATCTACGACAGTGGTTACTACAGTCCCACTTTCAAGCCAGGCTCAGGTTAGTGTGCAACAACCTGTTTCAGTGGCTATGCAACCGTTGCAGCAAGCCCCCGGGCCCATGCAGCCTATGCAGTAAATGCCTAAGATACCTTTGATGAGTCCCAAACCCTTCTTTGGTGATAGGAAGAAGGATGAGGATTTAGACACCTGGGTGAGGACTATGCCTACTTATGTGAGGCACAAGCTCACCAGGCCAGAGCAGGAAGTTGTAGTGGCTGCCTCCTTGTCAGAAGGGTCAGCAGCTCGCTGGTTGAATGGCTTAGTGCAGCAACAGGGCTACGGTCAAAACTTTGATGCTTGGGCACAGGCCCAGACATTGAAAGAGTTCGTACGGTCCGTATATAACAGGTGGCATGACCTGCAAGGGGCTCAGAAGGCCACCGATGCTATCAACAATCTTTGTTCCTGCAGGTTCAAGAATGTTAGAGAGCTAACGGACACCGTAGAACATTTACTCGTGATACCTGGTGTGTGTTTTGACCAGCAGGTTCTCCTGACAGATTACCTAAGGTGCCTACCTGCAGAGGTAAGGACCAAGCTGGTTGATGAGGCATATGTCGAACAACACATCTTTGATACTTTTAGTAAGAAAGCTTTGGACATAGAGGCAAAGTTGAGATCCGCGCATCAAGCATCTCATGATGGTAGGAAGAGACTTCCCCAAGACTTGAAGAAGAAGGGTCAGTTGATGTTTGTGGACCATGATGGTCAAACGACGAAGATAGAAGATTTCCCAGACCTTGGGGAGGTGACAGAGCACGATGGGGCTAGTGAGACTTCGGATGGGGGAGTCGTGACACCCATCAAGGAAAAGGCTAGAGGGACCAGGAAGAAGAAGGTAGTACGGTCCACGGGTCAGGGTGACCAAGGAACACCCGCATGGGTAAAACTTGGTTTAGAGTATGAGGTGTGGAGGGACCGAGTTGCTAGGGGCACGTGGATGAACTGTGGCAACTATGGCCACACGTCTCGAACGTGCCGAGGCAAGAAAGTCTTGACGAGGGTAGCCTCACCAACGGTGGTGGGACTTTCTTCGAACTCTGGCGGTGCTTCTGCGAGCACTTCGTAGGGAAACACCTCGGGCCAGTAGGAGTATTAGCCGCTCTTACTCGCGCTGAAGTGGTAACGTTGCCTTCCTCACTTCAGGCGCTGGCCAAGGCTAGAGACCCACGTATCGCCCCGCAGACACATTCGGACCCACCGACGCTATGTTCGAGAGATGTGTCTGAGGCCCTAGAGAAGTTAGAGACTGAGTGGTCAGGGAAGCACCCCAGGGACTCTTGGGCGATGATAAGTAGAGGTCCAAAGGGTGAACATTTTGTGGTAGAAGTTGATGTAGGTGGCCGAAAAGTGGGCGCCTTCGCGGACATAGGCTCTACACGAAATTTCATCAGTCGTGTTTGTGTGGATAGACTGCGTTTAGGGGACCAAGTGCAACGGCTTAGCAGAACTGTAGCTTCTACGCTGGCTAACAAACACCAAATGTTGGTAAAAGACTATCTCAAGGACTTAGTGTGCACCTTCTCCTATGGAGGAGGGGAAGTGAGTCATAAAATCTCCTTCCTGGTTAGCGACGAACTGCCCTTTGATATGCTCCTAGGTATGTACTACCTCGAGGTCTCCCAACCGCAGTTTGATTGGGATAGAAAGGTGTTGATTCACAAAATACATCTGTTATATTGCAGAAGTTTAAAACTAGCAGTCTGATAGAAAACTACGGGTGTATGTGTACATCATCTTTCTATAACTATTCTAAGCAGAATCGCGAGGAGGGTATGAACTTAGTCTTTGTCTCTAAGAAAGGGGAGACCGTTAAAACACCCCCAGAGATAGAATCAGTCGTCGCACAATATTCAGACCTTTTTGAGGAGCCCACAGGCGTGGTGGAAAGGGAGGTTGTCCATGCAATAGAGGTTGTCCCAGGTAGCAAGGTGCCTAGAGGACGAATCTATAGGATGTCTCCTGCGGAGTTAGATGAGCTTCGCCGCCAGCTCAAGGAGCTCACAGAGAAGGGATGGATACGGCCTAGTACCTCCCCTTACGGTGCGCCAGTCTTATTTGTCCCAAAGAAGGGAGGTCCATTAAGGATGTGCATTGACTATAGGGGTCTCAATGCCATCACCGTTAAGAACGCAGAGCCCCTACCCCGCATCGACGACCTCTTGGATAGAGTGCAGGGATGCCGGTACTTTACCACGATAAATCTGAAGTCCAAATACCATCAAATTGCTATTAGGCCTGAGGATCAGCACAAAACCGCAATATAGACTAGGTACGGTCTGTACGAGTTTGTGGTGATGCCCTTTGGACTATGCAATGCACCTGGTACGTTCCAGCACGCGATGAACAATATTTTTCATGACTACTTAGACAAGTTTATCATCGTGTACCTCGACGATATTCTCATCTTTAGTAGGGTTGTAGAGGAGCACGATGAGCAATTGAAAACAATGCTAGGTCTCCTAAGACCGCACCAGTATAAGCTTAACTTGTAGAAATGTGAGTTTGGTCGCACTAAGATCTTGTGCTTGGGTCATGAAATCTCAGCAGATGGATTGAGGCTGGATGATGCTAAGGTGGCCAGCATACGTGACTGGCCCAGACCTCAGACTGGTACTGAGGTCAGATCGTTTTTGGGGATGAAGGGCTACTATCGTCCGTTTGTGAAGAACTATGGTACTATAGCTTCCCCATTGACACATCTTACTCGACTGGACACCCCTTGGGAGTGGACTGAAGAGTGTGAGGCAGCCTGCAGGATATTGAAGTATGCCCTGACACACTATGAGGTTCTTAAACTTCCTGATCCTGATAAGTCGTTTGTCGTGACCACAGACGCCAACCAATATGGCGCGGTCCTTGCACAAAAAAAGGGGCCCAAGTTGAGACCTATCGAGTACATGAGCAAAAAGATGCCATCTAAGAAACTAGCGAAGTCCGCTTATGAGTGTAAGCTCTATGCCCCGTACAGAGCGCTGGTACATTAGAGACACTATCTCCTTGGCAAATTTTTCTACGTGAGATCTGACCATGCGACCTTGCATTGGATTAAGACACAACCAGTCCTCTCTGACGCATTGAAGCGATGGATTCAAGTGATAGACGTGTATAACTATCAACTTGATCCAATCAAGGGAGAGTACAACAAAGTGGTTAATGCATTATCTAGCCTGGCGGATTATCTGAGCGCACTAGTGACTGAATTTATCAAATCTAGCGACTTAACTCGATCATTGGTGGATGCCTATCAGCAAGATCCAGTTATGTCTGAGATCATCCGTAGATTCCAAGCAAAGGACAAAAAGACTTTGGACGAATTTACGATGGAGGACGGCTTGTTGTTTCTTGAGAAAGCAAGGAATCAAAGTTTGTGTGTTCCCACAACTTCCCAGTATTGAGTCGTTACGTAGTTTATTTTTAGGAGAATGCCATGATGCAACTGGTCATTTTGGCTACAAAAAGACATCAGCGAACTTAGCACAAAGATTCTGGTCACCCTCTATTATGCTAGATGCAAAATGCTATGTTGAAACCTGCAAGGTTTGCCAGAGGGACAAACCGAGGACTCAGGCTCCGCTTGGGCTGATCAAGCCCTTGCCGATTCCTGAAGGACCTGGTCAGAGTGTGTCCATGGACTTCATGGATACTCTTGTGACCAGTAAGTCCGGCAAAAGGCACATCTTCGTAATAGTGGACCGCTTTACTAAGAATGCAAGACTAATCGCTATGCCAGAAACAACTAAAACTGACCACGTCATCAAACTGTTTATGGATAATTGGGTACGTGATTTCGGTTTGCCTACATCTTTCGTTAGTGATAGGGATGTGAGATTCACAAGTGAACTGAGGCAGACTGGCAGTCAACCACTGTTTTTTTTTTTCCCCTCCAATTGTGCGAGGATCAGGGTCCTCGGTAGGCCTAAGGGCCCTGTTTGCAGCATTGCCCTCCCTAAGTGAAGGTGGAGGTGCCCGCCCTAAGAGAAGGCGGGCCTGACATATCGCAAGAGGCCCTCGACTGCCAATTTCATATTTGAGGTCCAGGTAGTTGCGACGCGCCAGTTGGTTGAGAGAAACTCAGGCCGGGCAACAAAGACATTTCCATGGCCCTCCGGGCTTTTCCAAAGAATGCAGGCCCTGGGCGTGATTCGCAGCCTCATACAGAGACAGTTGGGCGCCCAACCGAACGAGGCCCAGCAGCTTAGTAGCTGCTGTACACAGGCAGACTCCTGGGCCTTCCGGAGGCTTCTGGGCCCAGGCCAGGGCAGCCAGGCAGGGCAAGCAGGCCAGCGCTTTCCATAAAGGAAAGAGCTCTCCGCTGGCAGGCTCATTCGGTCACTTGCTGGCTGGCAGCAGCGCTGCTGGAGCGATTGCTCGTGGGCTGACTGCCGGCATTGGAGCAAGAGGCTGCGCACGTGCAGTCGTGTGTGGGAGCAGGGCGCTGCTGAGGGCAGCGCCATAGCCAGCCTCCATAGCGGGCTCGGCTTGGATACACAGTGAGGCGCAGGGGTGGTCTTTGGGTGCAAGAGAGTTCATGTGTGGGTGTTAAGTCAGGGAATGGCGAAGGATGATGACGATGATGATGTGAGGGCACTAACCTTGTATTGGCGATGGTCATCATATGGGCGACATCTTCAAGTACTTCGGGTAGCCGCTGATGTCAACAGTTGCATTGTCTATTATTAGGCTGATCGTAGCTGTGTAGGAGTAGGCTGGGCGCTGAGCGCCAAGTAGGAGTGTGAAGGGACTAGACTCTTGTGTTGCTGAAGGAGAGAGAAAGCTCTCCATGTTATAGGTTTTCAGTACTACGAACCTCCATTGGTGTATTATTGGTGCAATGCTGCTCTCTGGACACAGTGTGACTATTTGGCTTTTAATGTGATGGTGTAATCTAGATTTGTCATCTCACTGTTGCTTATTTTCCTTGCAATTGGGCCCACAAGGCCCAAATGTTTTCGTTTTGCCAACCCTTGTCGGGATCCCGAACTTTGTGGTTGAATTCATTTTCCCAAATAGGACTACATTTTGGAAAGGTAGTGGTGGTTTAAACAAACGACGGTTTCATTATAATTTATAAACCAATTTTGAGGCCGGAGACCTCACATCTCAACCCGGATTATTGACAGCATCGGCCAACTTAGCTCACAGGCGCACCGCCTGCGGTCCATTTCAATACACGAGATTGGACCGTTCAAAGAAGTAGAGAAGTCATATCTGAAGGAGCATATAAAGGCTACCTACTTTTTTTTTTTTTTTTTTTTTTTTTTCTGTCGTGCTCGATGATCAATGCTTGATAATCAATCGTTGGCAATCTGAAGTTGACGCACTGCGCGGCGCTTTGAGTCTTTTTTTGTTTCTTTCTCTTTTTTCTTAACCAGCCCTGACCCCACTGGGG